GCTCACCTGGTGCCATTTGACGGTCGACTTCAGGGACACGTGTATAAAGAATTAATATAATATACTATACAACTTATATGTATAAAACAAAAAATTGAATCCTGCAAAATGCATCAAAAACCTCCTTTACATTAATTTACGCCCAAATTGGGCATTGTCAGCCAAAATTAATAACGAATCTCAATCCTATATCTTTGCTTTAAGATCGATTTTACAAGCTTTTAACTTGTTATGAACATATGATCATGATTACTGGCGCCATCCAGAGGTTGTCTGTAAGAAATCGCATTCTGCAATAAGACCGCCCATTGTACATTTTTTTAATATAAGGTACAGTCGCCAATAAGGCCCACTTTATTTCAAAACCTTGTATAATCTTGTAGATAAATAGTAGAGAATAAACATATTGGAGGTTATAATGTATTTATTTGTCAATCAAGATATCGAAAAAAGTAATCATAACTGCATATTTTTTAAGTGGCCCGTCTCAGGAAGCGGGCCATCTTTGGCGAACATACCTTATACTAGCTACTGCCCGCGACTTCGTATGCGCAATCCCATTTTCTCCCGTCCCCGTAGAATTTTCAGGATTTATTTCATCATCCTATTTTGTATACCTATACGTTTAGTTTGCATGACCATGACCACTAAGCTGCGTATTGTTTTAAAAAAATATTTTTCATTAAGTTTCCGTCAAAAAACAGAGACCGATCTTGAGATTTGGAATTGAAATCAGTTATAACTTTATTCATTATGTTATGAGCCCCATGTAATAGGGGGTGATCTATTGCCATCTTGTTATATTTGATATAAAATCTTATACTATTATATAAAGCGGAAGAGTTTTTTTTTTTGTTTCTTTGTTTGAACGCGCTAATCTCCGTAACTACAAGTCTGATTTGACTAATTCTTTTTGTGTTGGATAGCGCATTTATCGAGGATGGCTGTAGGCTATAAAACACCACGCTACGACCAATAGGAGCTGAGCAGAGCGTGTGAAACCGCGCGGAAGTAGTTAGTTCTTATATATTTGTTCATTGTTTGGTCTGGCTAGCTACACTACTAACAGTGGCTTAGTTAATAACCCGTATAAAACGCATATACAGTACCAAGCATTAATTATTGCACATACATTTTTTGGAAAGAGTAAATTGACAAGGCCCGAGTGAATAGGTTGCTTATGGGACGACGTGCTCCATCGTAGACCGCATCATCGCTTACCACCAGGCGAGATAGTGGGCAAACGTCGGCCCATCAATAGGGTAGTTTCCAGGATATCAAAATTAAAAATCTAATTAGTCCGTCAGTCAGATAATGAAAAAATATTAGACACGTATTTTTTTATTTTCTCGTATTAAGTTGCAATACTTATATAAAATGGACGACCTAAGTTTAGGAGTGGGAGGTTGTTCCGTCAGAGCGTGCTACAAAATGTGGCACGCTGTGACGTCACACGATATTTCAAATTAATATATCGTCGAAAGTATTTCATTTTGTGAGAAAATAAAAAATACGTGTCTAAAGTTTTAAATTAATGTACCAGACGGACATTAAAATAAAATTTAGGGAACTAGCATACGATTGTACGCTGCCGCGCAACGTGTGTTGGGGGAATCCATCCCGCACTGAACAAATTATTTGTGCGATCCATAAATTATTGTTCCGTGTCTGTGTGTGATGTGTATGTGAACTTGTATGTTTGTAAACGTATACACGACACAGGAGAAAATCCTGGGGCAACGTTTTTATCTAAAAAATTCATTTTTTATGGTTTAGGAGGCAAACGAGCAGACGTAAAACCTGATGGTAAGCGATTACCGCTGCCCATAGACACCCGTCACACCAGAGAAGTCATAGGTGCGTAATTTATTGCCAGGTACTGTACATAACATAACATAACGCTCATATCTCAAAAGGGCAAGAGTACTTATAGTACGTCCACATTTTACCTGCTTTGTTATAAATTCAAATTGTAAGTAAGTCCATGTTTTAAATGCAAGTGTTCAGCATTATTTCATACTATAATTTTATTATAGGTTAATAAAATTTTTGACAAATCTTATTTGAAGACAATTGTCAAGCGATTACGACCGTTATTTGTATGAAGGTAAGTACTTTTGACACTGACTGAAAGCTTGCTTTAGCTTTTCAGTAGTGTAAAATACCAGTGACAATATTTAACTCGTCGAGTACAGTATTTATAGACACAATTAAAGAACAATAGGTTGCGGTCACTGGTGACCTCGCGGTGTTTGACAGTTTAAAAAAAAAAGATTTGCCAAAATTTATAGAACATTTCAAGCTATCTAAAGCCGCAACACTGAAATGCTACTAAATTTTAAATTGTACTTAAATATCGTGCCGTCTCTTTCATTTTACAAAGAATTTGTAGAGATAGAACTGTTTACATACTTAAGCGCGACATAAAATTGAGTAGCGTTTGAGTATTTCAGCGTAAAACTATAACATTTCCTTTATACAAGTATAAATAACAACATAACATAACATCACGCCTTTAATCCCCGAAGGGGTACGCAGAGGTGCACATTACGGCACTTAATGCCACTGTATACAATGTGACACCGACTTTTCACTATTTATGTTATGAGTCCCATGTAGTAGGGTGTGAGTCTATTGCCATAAACCGGACACAATTCCAGACTCCGTGATACTACTGAGATTTTTTTTTAAAAACCCAGTACTATTTTGCCCGACCCGGGAATCGAACCCGAGACCCCTTGCCCGGCAGTCGCACTTGCGACCACTCGGCCATCGAGACAGCAATTATTATTATCAATTATAATTATACTTGTATATGACAATAGGCTCACCTCCTATTACATGGGACCCATAACATAAATAGTGAAATATGAGTGTTACATTGTACAGTGGCATTAAGTGCCGTAATGTGCACCTCTGCCTACCCCTGCGGGGATAAAAGGCGTAATGTTGTTATGTTATGATAATAATAAAAAACAAAGTTATAAGTATAGGTAATAATAATATACATAATTTTATACAAAAAATGTAACTTAAACATAAATAAACATAATGTTTTAAATTCTTAGATAAAGACAGAGTTTTACTTATGAACAACTACTTTCGCCATGTTGTACACCGGGAAATTTTTATAGTTTTCGTCTCGAACTAAAAGATAACGGCACGTGTTTTTGTTTCTGCTTTATACAGTGAAACTTGGTTAAGTGGGACCTGGATAAGTGAGAAACCTCCATAACTGGAACTCATGCTGCGGTCCCAACACTTTGGCACTGAATTACCTCTGTTAGTGGGACGAGGTAAACCTCTAAATCTGGGATTTGTTCTTTCGATTTATCATCATAGTTACCTCTATAACTGAGACAGCGAGTAAATTTTATATGCATAAACCTCTGTAACTGAGATAACATTTTTTGTTTACTCATTCTTATTGTACCCACAAATTACACACGTAATTCCAAGTCCACCTCTATTAATGGAACCCTCTGTAAATGAGACAGATATTTATTTATACCTGTATATCTGAGACACTGGGTAAGTGGAATACCTCTATAAGTGAAACGACATTTCAGGTCCCTTGATGTCTCACTTAACCAGGTTTCACTGTACATCAAAAGCACTCCTTATGACAAGTTGTTTTGCCGTAGGGCGAAAACGAAAGAAATTTTAAGGTCTATTGCCGGATAACTGAAACGTTACTCAATTATAAGTCGTGCTCAAATATCGTGCCATCTCTGTCATTTCATAAAGAATTTGTAGTGACAGAACTATAGTTAAGCGCGACTTAAAATTGAGTAGCGTTTCAGTATTCCGACCTACATATCCCATTTTTAAAGGGGAGGGCAAATATATTTAAGGTATTATAACAAAACTTAATGTTATAAAGTTTGTTATAAAACACTAAAAACACTTTGCCCTCCTCAGGAATCGAAGTTATTGGCCAAAGTAGTGACGAAAACTTAATAATTAGAAAACAAAAAAAATAATATTTTATTTGAGATATCTTTAAAAAAATTAAGCTAAAACAATTAAACTTATAATTAAAATAATACATAAGGTACATGTACAGTTACATCGTAGTTCTAATCAAATCCATAATTTATTGTTATTGTAAAAAAATAAACTAATGGTTTTACAAATTAATTGTTCCAAGTATGCAGATGGCGCTTGCGATGTCTTTAGGAATACAGTGAAATAGACAGGTTATTCTTTTTAAATATTTAACATAATCTTTGTGATATAATAGCGAAAATTGACCTCTGAGTCAAGCGTTTCTTTTTTATTGTAATTAGTACTAATCGGGCCTCATTTAGTTTACATTTATAAAATTGTGTAAAAATAGTATGTACTTTGTATTTCATTTACAGAATGCAACATAATTTAAGTTACAAACGCTCACCGTTAGATGGCGCTATCTACAACTATTTTGTACTCTCTCGATTTACGTGTCAATACATATTTTTCGTGTTTTTTGTGGACTTTTTGAATAAAAGCAGGGTTTGTCCACTATTGGCTGAACCGATTATGATGCAATTTTGAGAAAAGTGTTTGTTACACTTAGGAGAAGGTATAGTACCTATATTAATTAATTGACGTGTAAAAGTGCTGCCTTGTAGTCTATTTGCAGATAAAAATTCACTTGTTTCACTTGACTTCAAAAAAGAGTCAATTTTTTAAACGTGGTTTATAAAAGAACTAGCTTCTGCCCGCGACTTCGTACGCGTAATCCCATTTTTCCAGTCCCCGTTCATGATCTTCGGTAAAAAATTAAAGAAAAAATTGGTTAAAAAGTATCCTATGTCGGTCTCCTGGCTCTAAGCTACCTCCCTGCCAATTTTCAGCCAAATCTATTCTGCCGTTCTTGAGTTATAAGTGGTGTAACTAACACGACTTTCTTTTATATATATAGATTATGATACATATCTTTCTATCCTACAAAACATCGCAAGCGCTATACCAACATTAGAAAACGACAACAGCTAGGTATGTACAATGCTACCAACTTAACTGTCAAGTCCGTGGTGCTTGCGTTTGATTCTTGCGTAGGGTCCGATGTCGGGGTCCATAACGAAGTCATAGAGTACCTTGGACCAGCTATCGTGATGTGGCAATGTGTCGTAGAACTCCGGCGCAATACGGCGTACCTGCGTCAATAGAGGTGTTATTAGTTACTTGTGAAGGATTTTCAACCTTATTTCAGGTAAGAATATGGTCAAAAATTTTGGTTTTAACCCTTTGAGTACCGTCATTATAGACACAATTAAAGAACAATTGGTTGCGGTCACCGGTTTCATCGCGGTGTTTGACAGTTTAAGTCAGCTTGATGTGTTTTTTATGGTATAGTATAGAGAGCCACAAAATGTAGATTCCCAAAATTAAAAATCTAATCAGTCCGTCAGTTAGATAGCGAAAAAAAAATTAGACACGTATTTTTTAAATTTCGTCGTATTAAGTTGCAATACTTAGATAAAATGGCGCTAAGTTTAGGAGTGGGGTTATTACGTCATAACGTGCTACAAAATGTGGCACGCTGTGACGTCACACGATATTTCAAATTAATATATCGTCGAAAGTATTTAATATTGCGAGAAAATAAAAAATACGTGTCTAAAGTTTTAAATTAATGTACCAGACGGACATTATAATAAAACCTAGGAAACTACCCTTTTAGCTGATGGATCACATAATGACAAGCTATAAACGTAACGGCGTCGCGCATCGAAGGAATTATAAATGCGTTGCCGACCTGTTAAGAATGAGTAAAATTTGGTAATAAGAGGGCAGGATAGAGCCTCCGGTAACCTCACACAACGCAATCGTTGTTTCACGTCGTTTTTATGATACCGTGATACCACTCCGGTTGACTCGGCCACATTCGTGCCGAAGCATGGCTCTCCCACAATTTGTTAACCACGCCATCTATCGATCTACCCACGAACTAAACTTCATTAAGCTTCGATGTCTAACCAACAGATGTCACCACCATCAGATTAGGCTTACCTCGGGTAGTTTACTGCCAGGTACCGCCGGGAAATCGTGATGCTCGTTATGGTAACCCACGTTGAATGTGATCCAGTTCAGAGGTCCATAATAAGAGTAGGTCTCATAACCTTTCTTAAACATGTAGTGTTCGGCAACGAAGTGGCCTATAAACAGAGAAATTAAACATAACATAAACATAATATCACGCCTTTCTTCCCCGAAGGGGTAAGCACATTACGGCATTTAAATGCCACTGTACACACGGCTACACATCGAGCTTTGCATAACCAGTATAAACTGAACGTTAAATGTGCGGAAAGATGATATGACGCGATACCAGGATAAACTGGTTTGGTATAGATTGATGTATGGCCGTGTGTACAATGTAACACCCTTTTTTCACTATTTATGTTATGGGTCCCATGTAATAGGGGGTGAGCCTATTGCCATATACCGGGCACATTTCCAGACTCCGTGCTACTACTGAGGTTTTTTTAAAAACTTAGTAACACTCTGCCCGACCTAGGAATCGAACCCGAGATCCCTTGCCCAGCTTTCGCACCTGGGACCACTCGGCCTACGAGGCAGTCAGTTCATTTAATTTATTAATTAGTAATTATAACTCACCAGCTACGGGGTGAACTCCCATCGCCATTACAGCGCCAAGCAGTAGGTAGCCGAGCGCTTTCCAACCTGAAACCAATTCGATATTCAAACATTAATAGGTGTTTTTTTTTAAGGGGGGAAAATCATCGAATGACTGCTCCCGCCTGGGTGAGGCGGGAGGGAGTGTCAGACTCTTACTGACTAAAAACCACCCCGTTCCTTCTCCTGCACGTCGAGCCGGAGCCCCGGTTACCCGTTAGGTTCTCCGCGACTCCGAATCGGCAAACATTAATAGGTGTAGCGATAGAACTGTTAAATCTTATTGATTTACAAAGGCCTTTTTTGCATGGAAAATCATCAAATGACTCCTTCCATTGGGCACTTTCCTTAATCCTTACTTATATAAATCGGAAAGTGAGTTTGTTTGTTCCACTTTAACGCCGTAACTACTAAACCGATTGGTTTGAATTCTTGCAGATGTATAGTTAGAAGTCCGGATTAAATAATAGGGTACTTTTTATCCCGGAAAAATTTGATATTCCCGAGGGAAAACAAAAGTATTGGTATAGATGGCGCTGTGTGTATTATTATATGTCACATTGGCTTTTTATCCTTTTGTGACGTGAACGAAGCCGCGGGTAAAAGCTAGTCAAAAATAAATTATTTCAACTGTTCAATACTTACAACAGAATATTACAAAAAAATTATTACTACTGTCGTTTTTGATAGTTCGATGAAAGTATTTTAGACTATAGTCAGAATTTTAATTAGATTCCAGATTTGACAATAGCTACTGTCATTTTGTGAAATAATGATACCACATATAATAGTGTAGTGATGCACACAAAAATCGATAAACAATCAGTGTGTGAGTTTTATAATAAATGTTACAGAAAGTGACAGCGATGACGGCGACAATTTATAAAATAACTTATTACCATAATACATCTATCTGTTTTATTTGTCATGTTCCTTCATGATTACATTTTTTTATTTATTTTACACACAATTATAAAAGAAACGTCTCAGATCGTTATATAATTAATCGTCAAAACTAAATTATCGGTTCAGAAATATTTTATTTCCTGATATACTTAGTTCACGAGAGTAAAATTATAATTATTATAAACGAGAAGAATCGATCCAGAAATATTGCATGTCCATATCGAATAATTTCACAACGTCACTATATAGTACTTGTCATAACGTTGCCACACTGAAATTGTCAAATCTGGAATCGAATTAAAATTCCGAGTATAGTTGTCAAATACCGTATTCAATGTTAAATCTTAAAGCTGGAACACCAGAGGAAGTGCGTTACCGGCCTTTTGGGGATTAGGAGTTTGACGATCGTTGGGGATTCAGGAATTGGGGAGATTGGGGAAGGGGAGGGTTATTGGGCCTCCGGTAACCTCACTCACACGACGAAACACAACGCAAGCGTTGCTTCACGTCGGTTTTCTGCTCGGCCGTGGTATCACTCCGGTCGAGCCGGCCCATTCGTGCCGAAGCATGGCACTCCCACACTTGTTAGTAAGGCCTTTACGTCAAAACGGGTGAAGGGAACGGAATGGAGCAGGGGTAAATAATGGTCTGGAAAAAATCTTAAACTACTTTTTAACCCAGGTCATCTGACGCTAGAAAATTGTATAGTTTAATTATTTTGTGTTTGAGCATAAGGGATAGTTAAACCTACAAAAGGTTTAGCTGCTTTATTTTTTGTATTGAATTTTGTATCCTATAATAGGGCTGACATTTTCCTCTACGGAAAAAAGCCCTTCTTATTAAATAAAGATTAAAAAAAAAACCCACAGACACGCGAACGAAGCCTTTGACAGAAGCTAGTATTAAACATAACATAACATGACATAACATCACGCCTTTTATCCCCGAAGGGGTAGGCAGAGGTGCACATTATACCACTGTACAATGTAACACCCACTTTTCACTATTTATGTTATGAGTCCCATGTAATAGGGGGTGAGCCTATTGCCATATACCGGGCACAATTCCAGACTCCGTGCTACTACTGAGAATATTTAAAAACCCAGTAATCGTTTGCCCGACCCGGGAATCGAACCCGAGACCCCTTGCCCGGCAATCGCACTTACGACCACTCGGCCAACGAGGCAGGCTAGTATTAAAATGTGTGTATAACTCACCCCAAAGTTTAATAATGACGGCGTCAAAGAACAGTTGTATCACCAGGTTGATGAGTTCCATTGGAGTCGGGGCCTTAGGCCGGACCACTAAAGGTCGGAAGCTGTAGAAGAACGGCTGGAGGAACAGCCAGAGCAGCTTGCCGCCGGTGGTGCAGAATAACTTCGCTTCGATCAACGTCGGGAGGTCCGTGTCTATTACTTCATCTCCTTGGTACTGGAAAAGATATAAGTTGTAAGCGAGTACATGTATTTGTGATACTTTAAGTTAACATAATACAGTGAAACCTGGTTAAGTGAGACATCAAGGGACCTGAAATGTCGTTTCACTTATAGAGGTTATTCCACTTACGCAGTGTCTCAGATATACAGGTATAAATAAATATCTGTCTCATTTACAGAGGGTTCCATTAATAGAGGTGGAATTGGAATTACGTGTGTAATTTGTGGGTAGAATAAGAATGAGTAAACAAAAAATTATCTCAGTTACAGAGGTTTATGCATATAAAATTTACTCGCTGTCTCAGTTATAAAGGTAACTAAGATGATAAATCGAAAGAACAAATCCCAGATTTAGAGGTTTACCTCGTCCCACTAACAGAGGTAATTCAGTGCCAAAGTGTTGGGACCGCAGCATGAATTCCAGTTATGGAGGTTTCTCACTTATCCAGGTCCCACTTAACTAAGATTCACTGTATCACGCTTTTTATCCCCGAAGAAGTAAGGTGCAATTACGGCACTTAATGCCACTGTACAATGTAACACCCACTTTTCACTATTTATATTATGAGTCCCATGTTATAGGGGGTGAGCCTTTTACCATATACCGGGCACATTTCCAGATTCCTTGCTACTACTGAGATTTTTAAAAGCCCAGTAATACTTTGCCCCCTAGCCCGGCAGTCGCACTTGCGACCACTCGGTCAGCGAGGAGCCTCTCGTTCATCTCTAAAAAGTAATTAAATCTAGACAAAGCCGTGGCAAGTCTAAGATTCCTTACTTCGCTTTCTCTATTATTATAGTTAATGTTGTGTGTCTCGATTCCTGCATGGAATTTTCTACCAAATTCTTTGTGTGTGTGTTAATTATTGTACGTATATTTGCCCGGTATATGGCAATAGACTCACCCCCAATTACATGGAACTCATAACATAAATAGTGGAAAGTGGTGACTCATAACATGTGCACCTCTGCCTATCCCTTCGAGGATAAAAGGCGTGATGTTATGATGATGTACGTATAACGCACGCACGACACAACAAAATCTAGTATGAGGTCATGATTTTATTTTATAGATACTTTGACCGGCTCTAGAATCGAACTGGAAACCCCTTGCTAGACAGTCCCGCATGCGATCACATGACCAATGAGGTAGAAGATAAAGATTTGACAAATAAAATTAAACGGACTTCAATGTCCCGGTGTTTTCATGGTTGTATCTACTGTAGATCCTGGCTTACAGGAGTTGCAGCGGTTTTGGGAGGTTGTGGAGGGCTTGTCCCAAAAATAAAAAATTAAATTAAATGAAAACTTACCCTATGGTGTTCCAAGTGATACTTTTTAAAGCTTATAGACACCGGCAGCCCTATGGGTAGGTTCGCGAAGAATCCAAATAATTTGTTCGCTAAAGGCCGATTATGACCGAAAGCTAGATTATGTGCGATTTCGTGGATGGCTGTAACAAAGAAAAAAATACGTTAAAATCATTATAATACTTTTACTATATGCACCGATATCTTACCTATCTGTGGGTGGGTAACCTATTTGCTATGTGCAAAGCTAGTACTGGCGAACAGATAACGACCGCAGCGCACAACACGGCAGAAATTGGAAACAAATGCGGATGACGCAAACCCAGTTTTTACCGACTTCAAAAAAAAGGAGGAGGTACTATGTTCGGCTGATTGTTTTTTTTTTTTGTTTGTTCGCGCAGTACTCCGCCGTTTGAGGACCGATTTCGAAAAATTTTGTTTTGTTTGAAAGGGTATACTCCCGAGATGGTCCCATTTCCATGAAGTCAGGATCTGATGATGAGATCCTAGGGAAACCGAGGGGAACTTTCGAAAATTCTATGGAGGAGTAATGCGTCTATTATGTTTTTCAATTACCATTTTTAAACACTACAATTTCATATGGGTTTGGAGTCGACCTGATGATGGAGTCGACAGACAGTCGAGGAAACTCCTCAGCGGTTTATATTAACTACCTTGTGTTTGGGCTTGATTAATTTGTATTGATGAGGACTTTACACCTAGATATAGTGGGGCTGTCATTAAGGGTCTGATGATGAAGAAGTGTAATTGGTAAGGGAACTCCTCAACGGTATACAGTAACTACCTTGTGTTTGGGCTTGATTAATTTGTATTGATGAGGACTTTACACCTAAATAGAGTGGGGCTGTCATTAAGGGTCTGATGATAAAGAAGTGTAATTGTTAAGGGAACTCCTCAACGGTATACTGTAACTACCTTGTGTTTGGGCTTGTATAATTTGTATTGATTAGAACTTTGCACCTATATATAAGTAACAAAACGGGTATATGTAGCTTTACACTGAAAATGATAAAATAATAAAATAAAAACTGCGTTTAAAAAACCGACTTCAAAAAACCAAAAACCAAAAACTAATAACAAACAAAAAGTCAAATCTAAATAGCAAAAAATAACTATTATTAGTACTGATAGGTTACCCCCCCACTGATAGGTTAGAAGTCGGTGCCATAAGTTCAATACAAAATTAATTAATAATTATAATTATAATATTCATTTTACAGTAAAACTATTCAATAAATTGCACTTAAATAATGTCAACAATACAATAACTTCTTCTTTGGTTTTATTTATATTTGCAAAAAAAATTATAATGTTTATTTGACAGCTTCCGCAAATGTTGTAAACGCTACGCGTCGCCACCGTCGCGCACATAGACAATAAGTACGTATGACTAATAATTTTGACCTTTTGCTTATTTTTAAGTTTTGGTTTTCGATGTCGGTTTTTATCTATACTAATATTATAAAGAGGAAAGATTTGTACCTATTTTTGTATGTTTGTAATGAATAGGCTCAAAAAGTACTGGGCCGATTTAAAAAGTTCTTTCACCAATAGAATGCTACATTCTTCCAATTTGACATAGGCTACATTTCATTTTGAAAAAAAAATCCAAAAAATAAATAATTGTCTACCCCGTGCGAAGCCGGAACTGCTAGTTGTACATATTGTGTTATACTTTGTTGTTTTTGTTCTTTTCTTTACCATTTTAAGTTTATTTATATTATTTTATATTATGTAAGTATCTGTATTTTTATGCTCTTGTGTGCCTAATAGTCAAATAAACGCATTTTCTTCCTTTCTTTAATTCAAAAAGAGTATTTTTATGAAACCAAAAACACATGTACAGGTACATCGTCGTAAGAAACAGCTCTTAAAACATAATACATTACAGCCTCAGTGATAATAGATAAGGTAGATTAACAGGCAACCTTGAACCGCCTCGCGTATGCCACATGAAATTATACCTAAGTACATACTAATCAATTAGAGTGCAAGATGAGAGGAAAAACGAGGATAAGTGCGGAAATTTTTACAACTACCATAATAGCTATAATGGCGGCGATGTTATTAAGATATTAGATAACATAACATAACATCACGCCTTTTTATCCCCGTAGGGGTGTGTGCTCGCTGCCATTGCAGCGGTAAGTCCCCTCTTTGAGGAGTGGCTTGAGAGACGCTACGGCGTCCTCACCTACCGCCTGACGCAGGTCCTCACCGGACATGGAAGTTTCGGGAGGTACCTGTGTCTGATGGGGCGGGAGGAAACGCCCGGGTGTCATCACTGCGAGGACCACCCTGAGGACACGGTGGAACACACTGTTGCGGAATGCCCTGCGTGGGCTGAGCACCGCCGTGCCCTCAGGGAAGTGATCGGCGATGGAGACCTCTCGCGTCCGGGCCTAGTTCAGGCCATGATGCGGAGCGAGGGGGACTGGGATGCCGTCTCCTCCTTTTGCGAAGCAGTCATGCTGGCTAAGGAGGAGGCGGGACGCGCGAGGCAGCGAAGCGCTGCCTCCTCGCAACCCAGCCATCGCGAAGGACACACCGGGCGTCGGGGATCGCGGGACGATCTCCGGCCACCGTAAGCGCGGGCCTGCGGACGGCGAGCATGGGTGGCTCCCCGTCCGACCAGAAACAGACCCGAGCGTACGGCGCGTCGCGTTCCGCGCGCGCCTCAAAGAGCCATCAGACCACCACAGATGGGGCCCAATAGGGCCGATGCCGATTCGGAGTCGCGGAGAACCTAACGGGTAACCGGGGCTCCGGCTCGACGTGCAGGAGAAGGAACGGGGTGGTTTTTAGTCAGTAAGAGTCTGACACTCCCTTCCGCCTCACCCAGGCGGGAGCAGTCATTCGATGATTTTCCCCCCTTAAAAAAAAAAAAAAAAAAAAAGGGGTGTGTTTAGCCAACCTTTTTGTTTAATAATTTATTTGTTTTCATACAGTCCACTAACAAAGAGAAAATTTGTTTATTTCTTTATTTAAAAAAAATATAATTTTTAATGTCACTGTCCAAACGTTGTTTTTTTTCAACACAATTTTTTCTTACTTCTATTATTCATTATAAGTACAAAATACACCTCATCGTCCTAAACATTGGTCCTACCCGAACCGGATAAACAGTGCGAGAAATATACATAATGGTGCGATGAGGATTTTTGAGTTGTGGTATTGTAACTTATAATTTACGTGTGTAGTGAAACGAGCGAAGTAAGGAAAAAATATGGAGAATTTATTTGTTTATCAAAACAATCTGTTGGAAAATCTCAAGAAAGCAGAAAGAAATTTCAAAAAATCACCCAAGGATAGATTAAAGCGGTCATACATAGAAACAAGAATACAGATTTTAGAAGAATTATGGAAAGAATTTAAAGATGGCCACAAAAATATAGTTTTGAAAGTCACCGAAAAGGAGAAAAGTAGTTCGTATTTCGAAGACGATATTTATGACTTGTTTGAAGAATTATATATAAACTACAAGTCAACGTTGATGGAATCTCTTCAGCCATTACTACAATCATCCTCATCTTCGTGTCAAGTTTCTTCAAACACGAATGTTCAAGATCATAATAATAGAAAAATTAAGCTACCTACTATAAAGATACCTACGTTTACGGGAAAATATGAGGAATGGCAAACGTTTTACGATTTGTTTTCCACACTTATTCATAATAATGAGGAATTATCCCCTGTTCAGAAACTACATTATTTAAAGAGCAATCTGTCTGGAGAGCCAGAGGTACTATTGCGCAATTTTTCTACTACGGATGCAAATTATGATGAGGCGTGGAAGCAATTACAAAAACGCTACCATAATAAGAGATTAATCGGATACGCTATCTTGAAGACATTATTTTCTCAAAAATCTATACAAACAGAATCAGCAGGCTTAATTAAACAACTCGTAGATACAACCTCGACTTGTTTAAAGGCACTAAAGAACATCAACTTGGACTCCTGGGATTTTATCATCACCTATTTAGTTATGTCAAAATTAGAACCTGAATCAATTAAACTTTGGGAACAACAGATTTGCATGAGTAATGACGACCAGATTACCTGGCTACAACTTCAAGATTTTTTAGAATCAAGATTTAGAGCATTGGAAATGGTGGAAAATACTAAAGTGAGAACCGTACAAGCCAAACCAACAAAACCCAAAGTTTTCCATTCCAACATTACTAACAATGGAATAAAGTCAGATATAAAATGTGCCTTATGTGAAGGGGAACATTATATATACACATGCAAAAAGTTTGGAGATATGGATATCAAACAACGACAGGAATTTGTTCAAACGAACAAATTATGTTTCAACTGTCTCGCGCCGTCACATTCAGTGAACAAGTGTCGGCAGTCAGCGTGCTGTCGGAGGTGCGGGCGGCGTCATCACTCTCTTTTGCACTTTGAGAGAGATCAGAAGACTGAGAAACCAAAAGGGGTGGTACTTCATCTACAGGTACGAGTAACGAGTTATCAACGGGTAAGTCTATTCCTGTAATTAACGAGACGCAATTTGTAACCAACTTTTCAAGTGAGCAAATACAATCAAACAGAGTCCTATTAGCTACTGCTAAAGTGTTAGTAGAGAGTAGGAATGGTTGCAAATATATTGTGAGAGCATTGTTAGACCAAGGGTCGCAGGCTTCATTCGTTACAGAAGCAACAGTACAATTACTCAACCTGAAACGTAAATCAGTGAGTGGCTGGGTGTCAGGGGTGGGAGAGAGACAAACGAGAATTAAATATAGGGTTTCCTTCAGTGTTAAATCGTGTCACAATCCCAATGAGTCTATTCAAGTAGATGCATATGTGTTGCGTTCACTTACAACTCTGCTACCTTCCACTAACTTAATCATTCCAATGAAGTCAGATCTACATCGTTTGGAGTTAGCTGACCCAGGATTTGCAACACCAGGGAGAATAGATATTCTCTTTGGAGCTGAAGTATATAGTGATATATTAGTCGACGGCATTAAAAAGGATTCTAAGAGTAACTTGTTAGCACAAAACACCATTTTTGGTTGGGTGTTGTCAGGGAAGATATCACGAGAATACACATCAGCAGAGAATAATATTACAAGTTTACATGTTCAGCTTAAAGAAGATGACATGCTAA